GCAAAAATTGGGATGCTACTAATTACAAATAAAAGATAAGGGAATGGCCGATCACGCCTCCTGGGCGCCTTCATCTGCAACATGCTCAGCATGGGTCTGCTCATCGGCATCCTCGGTTTCCTCCTCGGTCTCAGTGTCCTGACCGACAGCGACTGCAGAGCTCGTAGCGTCGTCCAAGAAATCAAACTCATCGTAGTCCGGCTCGCCGAGGCCGGAACTATCGATCGGGGCCTCCCTTTCCGAAGGGGGGAGCTTGGCCTGCTCCTCGGGATCCTTCATCAGCCTGGGAAGCCTCAGGTTCCGCCTCGCCCACCCAGAGGTGTAGTTCATCGCCTTAAGGGCACGCGCCAGCCGCCGGCATAGGAGCCTCTGCATCCGTTGTTGGCCCATGTTGTAGTACACGGACATCTCCCTTTGAAAGTACTCCTGGCCAGCGGGGGAGTTCATTCCCCAATCCTCGAGCTTGACGGCCACAACTTCATAGCACCAGGGGAGCCGCTCGTCGGCCTTCCAGCCCTCGGTCAGGAACTTTTGGACGGCCTCATCAGCGGCCTTCACAGCAGCAGCCTCATCAGCGGCCTTCAAAGCAGCAGCCTCGACCTCAATCTTAGCCTTCACGGCCTCATCAGTCCTGCGCCGCTCAACCTCAAGTGCCCTCTGGCTCTCCGCAAGCTTGGCCAGGGCATCGTCCTTGGCTGCAGCAGCCTCATCGGCTCTCTTCTGCAGAGCTTTGGCATCCTCTCGAAGCCGATCCAAGCAGGTCATCGCCTCATCGGCCGAGGCAGCCTTTTGCTCAAACTCATTCAGGCGCGCAATCTCCCGTTGCTGCCTTTTGTTGCTCTCCATGAGCATAAAGGCACCCTGCAAAGCAAAGGCAAACCAAAACTCAGGCAATGACTTCACACAGACGACAAGGAAAACAACAAATCAAAGGGAAAGGAACTTACTTGGACGATGAGGTCCATCCCGCCTTCATAGATCTTGACATCCCCGAGCTTGTCGAGGTAGACCCGATCCTTGGCCGGCATGGCCTGAGCAAGCACATCATGACTATCAACGCCATCATCGAAGACACCCCCGCCAACAGGGTACTCCACCACTTTCTGGTAAGTGGAAGTGGCAATCTCCTTGCCAGCCCGTTTCGTCCGAGTCTCCTGGACGAGAGGGAGCGGTTGAGCAACGGCGCTGGAAGGAGCAGCGGTAAGATCCACAATGGCGACAGCAGCGCCAGAACCACCATCGTCCACATTTGGGACGGTCAGAACGCCGACCTCATCGGCAAGGGAAGGAGACGACACCCTCTTCGTCTTCTTAGCGGGCTTCAGACCAGTCTCGGTCAGCTTTTTCTGGCCGTCAGTGGGAGGCCGTTTCTTCTTTGGCTGGGCAGGCTTCGGGACCACACCAGCAGCAGCCTCGCCTCCCTCGGCCGCGGCACGCCTCGCCGCCTCGGCCGCCTTCGCAGCCAGCTCCTCGGCCGCCTTGGCCTTGGCTATGGCCATTATCGAACGGCGATCCATCAAAAAGTCTACACAAAGGAAAATAAACAGGTTAGCAAGGTAAAGGAACAAAAACAAAGGAAGAAAGCCGGAGGAAGTATTACCATCGGCTTCAGCAGGAATGCCCAAATCCGGGCCGTCGGCCTCCTCAAAGGTAGCGGTCATCCTCGACCACAGTTGGGCATCGTCCTCCTTGTCACCATACACATAATACCTGAAGAAGCCGAGGGCGGTCATCTTATACTCGGTAATGTAATCTTTCACGCTCCTCGGCCCCCCGTCCAGGAACGCCTCCACCTGAGCGTCCAAGATCGAACTCTTCGGCGGGTCGTGCAGATTGAACCTCCCAGCATGGCCGAGAGAGGGAAATTCAGTGCCGTTCTTACCAAGGGACACGAAAACAAACTTACTCTTCCAACCATGGATGGACGAAGGCAAGTGCGTGAAGCTCCTCTTCTTCGGCAATTGTTGGAGGGTAGTGTAGGCCGCACAGTTCTTATGGCTTCCTCGGCCAATCTGATAGAGGTTCATGAAGAGAGCTGTCGTCGGCTTGTAGCCCAACTCTTCACAGCGGAGCAAGAATCCCACCATCAACGAGTAGCTGTTCGGGGTCAGCAAGGCCGGAGGAAGTCCCACCATGTCCAAGTATTCCGTGATGAAGGGATGAAGGGGAAATCTCAGCCTCTTGGCGAAGCTCATCGGGTACACTCCGAAGTATCCCGGCGGCGGATTAAGTACATGGTTCGTCGGCCTGGGTGCCCTAACTCTCCCGAACGGCCCCACATACATCTGCGCGACTAAGTAATCGGCCGCGTTGCTCTCCGGCTTGATAAGGTAGATATTCGTGAGATTCAGGTAGGAGTACCCTGGCCCACTCTTCGGCCTCCTTATCCTCTTCGGCCTCTCTGCTCCCTTCACGGCGGACACCGGCTTCGGGCACGGAATAGCAGTGGAAGTGGACGCCCCGTCCACCACTCGGGACGCACCTGCGTCCTCGCCTTTCGAAGACGAGGCAGACTCCTCGTCCTTACCCTCGTCGTTCTCCGGCCCTCCGGACTTATAGGGGCTGAGATGCTCTATTTCCTCCTCAAACTCCTCAAGCACCTCGTAGTCAAGGGACCTAGTGGAGGGCTGGTCGTCGTAGGGGTAGTACTCCTCGTCCAAACTCTTCATCTTTCAACTATTAACGCCCTAAAGGTCTCTACTTTGGATCTAAGTGTGAATCCCCTATTAACACTAGATCAAAGGACCAGGAAGCAAAGTATACGAAATATGAAAGGAACAGGTGAAGAACTGACCTTCGAATATTTGAAGAAACAGAAGAACACTTGAACAAACACCTCAGAGACTCTCTCTCTAGAAATTTCAGCAGCACTTCGTGGGCACAGATTGCAAATGAGGTTACCGCGTCGGAAGGGGAGGAGTATTTATAGACCTCCTCTCCAACGGTCACTACACGTGGCACCATATCAGTGGCCACCTCAGCGGTCACCTTCCCAGCAGCCAATGAGGTGCCACCCCTTCGGAAATGGGCCGGGCTCGTGAACTAACCTACCGGCGGAGTAAAACCCTACGGATCACACGGACAACGAACGCCCACAACGGCCTATACGCTTGCCGGCATCACATACATACATACATACATACATACATACATACATACATACATACATACATACATACATACATACATACATACATACATACATACATACATACATACATACATACATACATACATACATACATACATACATACATACATACACACATGCATACATCCATACATACATACATGCATACATGCATACATACATACATGCATACATACATGCATGCATGCATGCATGCATACATACATACATACATACATACATACATACATACATACATACATACATACATACATGCATACATACATACATGCATACATACATACATGCATACATACATACATGCATACATACATACATGCATACATACATACATACATACATACATACATACATACATACATACATACATACATACATACATACATACATACATACATACATACATACATACATACGTACGTACATACGTACGTACGTACATACATACATACATACATACATACATACATACATACATACATACATACATACATACATACATACATACATACATACATACATACATACATACATACATACATACATACATACATACATACACACATACACACACACACACATACATACACACATACATACACACATACATACACACATACATACATACATACACACATACATACACACATACATACACACATACACACACACATACACACACACATACACACACACACATACATACATACATACATACATACATACATACATACATACATACATACATACATACATACATACATACATACATACATACATACATACATACATACATACATACATACATACATACATACATACATACATACATACATACATACATACATACATACATACATACATACATACATACATACATACATACATACATACATACATACATCATACACACACATGTGTACTAATATATGGAAAAAGAATCATATCGGGTTAGAAGTATTAATCTACAATTATGTTGATGTATGTTTCATTTACACATATTTATTTGCTTAATTGTTTAGAATAAATCATAAAAAAGATTAGTGCATTTGAATAAATTTATTAATTGAAAGATTTTAGAAATAATGTTGATCTAGTTTATTTACTCATTAAAAACTTTTTTACACCTAACATATAGTATTTATTTAATCTCTAAAATCAGAAATACTACATTGATAACATGTGAGATAGTATACTCCTTTTATGAAACATATTGTACTGTTAATCTAAAATGTGGAAAATGGAACATGCATGTTATATTTATGAATGATCGATCCTAATTGTCATATAATGTCTAATTGCTTGAAAAATGTTTTGAAAAAATGAATATAACAACTTATCTTGGTATACATATTATTGTTTATTGCATAACATTTTAGTTTAGACTCATTTAGGTAGTTTGGTTTTCATATTTAATCTTGACTGCTAAACTCTATTACAAGTATCATTTTATGATCTATAACTATGTGAAAAGTATATTTTCCATATAGTTATACTATCTTTTATTTTTGAAAATCGAGTTTGGTATTGAAGGAAGTTCATCATTACTACTACAATGCAACAACAAAAAACCGTGATAACTACGATCACTTGGAAACATAATCTCTACATGTTAATTTAGCAGTCATAAGGCACATAAAGGAAGCTAAACATATGACACAAATGTTTTGGATATATATTTGACCGAATTAAAATACAATTTAAATGGGGGAAGATTTCGAAGCAGAGTATGCATTCGGTATCCATTTATGTAGACATATAGTATTGGAAAGAACAAAATCAAAGTATAGAAATTAAAAAAAAAAAAAAAATAAAGAACTATGAACTCGATAAATTAATTTGGAGATAACTTTTCCCCTTTTATTTCTTTGTGATTGGTAGAGTACAAAACTATAGATATCTTATTAACATATAAAAATCCATAGGTATAGAAAGTGGTGACATTTTAATCATCCCTGATATGAACATGAGTGATAATTATATTGCAATCATTTGAAGACTGATGGATCAGCTCCCTCCAGCTTCCTTCATTCCTAGCATGGAACGCTGAAAAATTAAATCGAATGATTAGTATGTGACCAATAATACAATACTAGTGAATAATATTAAGAAAATTAAACAAAAATAAAAATATGATACTTGGTAAAAAGAGAAATACACCTTTGATACCAAATTTTAACCCTTCCAAGATTGCGCATGGCATCACCTTGACCCGGTTTTCCCATGTAACCAAAAGCGAGTCCACCCAAGTCAAACCAAACTGGTTCATTGTTGCATGCACCCGGGCATTCATCTGTTATGTAAACTTTAATGGGTTCTCCTGAGCATATTGGATTTTCAGTGCATTTTACCTGTAATATAGATATATATCACATATAATATGTACGTAATTGGGTATGCATGACAATGTATCCCTTGTTCATATGTATACACGATGCATTATATTAAATCATACATAGACTTTTTTATATGAACCATAATTATGCACGCATGCGTGTACACAATGTTTCACTCAAATAAGGAAAAATGTCCTAAGTTTTCCCTAATTATTATTTGTTCTGCTTCGTATGATACTTTAGATTAAAATAGTAGTAGTAAATATAATTGTAAAAAAAGTAAAATAAATCATGAAAAGGGGAAAGTAGTTTAGCGTAAAGATGAAAATGTAAGGCTATTTTCATATTTTAACATGTTTATCATTATAAAAAAGAGTAAGTCAAACTAAGAATAAGAAAAGAGTTTTTCTAAAATATAACTAAATAAAACTTCTGGGTAAAAATATGACCATAGTGACTATCTATACATTTTTATAGTCACATTGATGTAAAATTTAAACATAATTATAGTTTCAAAAGTTATTAAGTCACACTTTTATTAACTATCCCTATTTTGATCATATATTAGATATTACCCCATAATGTAACATGTGGATGTTGATGGAAATTGGTGTTGATACACCATTTTTATCAATAAGCTATAATAAAATTCTAGTATTAATATAAAATTAAGTGAGCTCCGTTAAATTGTTAATATATAATTATTATAACTGTATAAATAGTAAATATTGTCCATTACTTCAATGTTATTTATTTATCATTAATTTAATTATATTGATTATAACAAATTAAGATCTATTTACAAAGTACACACTATATACCTGATAACATTCTCCACAACCTTTGCCACTCTTATATAGAGCTTGGTTTCCCGCAGAAATCATGGAATTGTAGGGAGGCTTGCCAACGTCTCCATATCCACAAGCTCCAGTATCTATAAAGTGTAAGAACACTGTATAATACAATAGTAATAATTGGGACCGCCCACACACACGTATATATGTGAGGGTTCCAATGAGATCCAATTTTATAATGAGAACTCATTTATAGACGAGATCTTTTAATCTCCACTTTTGATATTTTTGTAATAATTTTACAAAATAGAGCCCATTTTAATTTTGTATAATTGTACAAATGACCCCATGCATGTGCATCCTACCACTCTTATAAAATTCTCATTATAAGTAATTCTCAATTTAAGTTTGGTTCTCACTAGCTAGAACTCTCCCTATATAGGGATGTGTGTGTATTGTATTCCTCTATCCATTTGTACTTCTATATTTCTTTGTAAATACATGCATTTTGTTCATTCTATAACTTTGTGTATAAAAAACTTTATTGTATCTGAATTTGGTTCAGTATAACTTTTAGTGCAATTCCTAAACATGCAAATTTAGCTTATGGTTAATCAACTTCAAAAACTGTAAAAGACATATAAAATGTTCAATAAAATGCACATCCAGTAAGGCATGAATCTAGCCAGATCTACTGTTTCCACGACATATAACTCAAATAAATATATGTATTATTTATGATTACCTGTTCCATGCCCATTTGGTGGACCATACCATGTTGCAATGGCAAGTGAAAAATCATTTAGAATTGCATTGGTAATTTGAGAAGAACAAAAGTTAAAGAGAAAAAAGGACGCAGCAAGAATTATGCATTGGGCAAAGGCCATTGTTATATCTTATGTTTTGAAATGCTTTGAAATGTTTAATTTGGATTAAAAAATGGTTTGAAAGAACTCCTCTTATACTTTAAAAGTTATGACGATGACTCATACACTGGATATGGTGATTAGGATCTCTTTGATCGCAAATTTTAAAGAATATAAATAAATTTCCATACATTTCATGTTTGATATATTCTATTAATCTTTTTTCCACATATATCTTTTAGCAACTTGATGTTTTCGTCAAAAAAACTGAATTTGTTAAGTAGATTGCTAATTACATTGGTGCCTTTGCGCGGCGAGTAAAGTCGGACAATGTATGTGGGCATTAAATTGTATGGCCACATGCATCATCATGCATCTAATTATTATCTTTATTGGACCAATCTACGCAAACATTTAAATGGAATTACTTTAATTTTATTCAAATACAAATATAGAAGTGCCCCGCTGTCCATTTTTAATTTTTTTCCCCTATGCTCAATAATATATTCATCCGTACAACATATTCTCTATGTTAAATGTCAACATTCTCGAATTGTGATTGGATTCAACCATATGGCCTCCTCTTTGGGAGCGTTTGACAAGGTGCATCAGTGCATGACAATAAAAAACTATTTGTCTAAAATAAATTATAAAATTAATATTGAAAATCAACTATGTATATAAAAAAAGTGATAATAATTTACCTGACATATAGTATATCCGGGAGATACCGCTGGGGGTATCTAGAGAGATGTTAGAACAAGTAAGACAGAGAGTAGGTGTATATTAAATGAGCTCAAGAGTTCATCTGGGAGCGGATCAGGATCTGGGATCTGGGATCCTTTACAATGAAGAAATGACTTGCTATTTATAGCACCCATAGATGCTAGGTGCAATAAGTGAGGGTACACGTGGCAAGTAACCAGGTGTGGAGAGTCAACTCAGCCAGGGTGGTGTCGGCATAACATGTGGCCGCATTCAACGCGGTGGTGTGGATGTGACGTTGCATTCAATGCGGTGATTCAACGCATGCAGAGAGGAGATCTTGTCAAGGTAGTGTCGGAGGCCGTATGTACCCCGGAGGCCTTCATGGGTCAAAGGCGGTACGTACCCCAGAAGACTTTAATGTGCTGAAGGACGTACGTCCCCTGGGGCCTTCATGTGCTCGAGGACGTACGTAGCTGGATACTGCCATGTGCTAAAGGTCGTACGTACCCCGGAGGACTTTAATGTGCTGAAGGACGTACGTCCTCTAGGGCCTTCATGTGGTGGAGGACGTACATAGCTGGATACCGGCATGTGCTAAAGGCCGTACGTAGCTGGATACTACCATGTGCTAAAGGCTGTACGTAGCCTCGGGGCCTTCATGTGCCGAAGGACGTACATCCCCTGGGGCCTTCATGTACCGAAGGACGTACGCCCCCTAGGACCTTCATGTACCGAAGGACGTACGTCCCCTGGGGCCTTCATGTACTGAAGGACGTACGTCCCATTGGCCTTCGGGTATGGGGCCGAAGGCAACACCTTGTTGTAGTATAAACTGTCCGGAGTCTTGTTTGCTGTGTTTGGGCCAGTAGGGCCTGTTGCTGTTGGGCCTGATTGCAGTAGTGGAAGTATGTGGCCCGGGGGTTCCTGGGCCATATACTCCATCATGAGTCCTCCACTCCTTGAGCTGAGATGTAGACGAAGTGAAAGGGAGTAGATTCCTGTTGTTTTGATGCTTTAAGCCGATGGAGGCACCATCCGTGGATTCTTGCCTTAATGTCCTTTAGCCGTTGTGGCGCTGTAGTGGCTATTCTTTGTGCTTGGCCGTTATGGGGCCTCTGCTTTCATGTTCTGGACGATGGAGGTCCTCACCTTCATATGACCCTGGGGACGTCACATGTGCTTTGGCCGTTGTGGTGTTCCCCTATCTTGGTCGAAGGTGGGACATATAGGCTGGAGATGTTGTCATAGCATCAGCGTTGGATTGTTTCCCTTTGTAGTTTTTGGTTACCTTGCGCAGCCGAGGAGGCACCATAATTGTTTTTTGGTGCTCCAGGCCGAAGAGGGACCATCCGTGGTTTTGTAATTTGATTCGTAGTGTGGACGATGATGGTCCTTACCCAGTGGACGTTGCGCGTCCATGGTTTTTGAGGATGATGAATGTCATGTCTTTGTGTTTTTGACTTTAGCTGAAGGTGGATGTTCGTGGTGTCCTTGCTATTCTGGGTTAAGGACGATGCGCAGCCTCTTCCTTGCCGTCTCTGGTTTAGGCCGGAGGTGATTCACACAATGTGTGGATTGTTGCAATGTTTATGATGTATTTTGATTTGACTTTGTTCAATCTCTGGGGTTTTGAAAGGCGTTGAGGCCGATGCAGTCCCCCGGTCCCCCACTCCTTCATACCGAAGAGCATGGTAGGTGTGAAGGAGTAAGATAGGAGCCAGGCCGAAGCGGAACCACTAGCGTCCCTCATGAAATCCAACCCCTCAGTGATCCCTGACCAGGGTAACTCTATGGGAGAACCCTTGGACGGAGGTCACGGGCCAGGGGTTATCATCCATGGGTTTCGTATAGTGGCCGATGCTTGTTGTTTCTTCCTGAGTTGTTGTGGATTCCTCGTTATTCTGGACGAGGAATGTCTCCAGTGTTGAGGACGATGTGTTGTTACCGAAGGCGTCTCCTAATGTGTGGAGGCCGATGCAGTCCCCCACTCCTTCAAGCACATGTAGTGAAGTGAAAATGAGTAAAGTAATGCTGGTCTTCAATAAGGGGCCGAGGGTTGGCCCTTTTTGTCCATAATGGGGAGATGTCTCGTTAAAAACCTCATTAAGAAAAACCCTGTGGGAAAAATTCCTCATGAGGGAAAAAAGAGTACACCGGATGCCCTCAAAATGAAGCAAAAGGGGTGAACCCTTCGGCCTGGGACATCATCAGCCATACCTGAGCGTTTCTCTCTAAGGGGCCGATACGATGTGAATGGAGTGGAGCGGTGTCCATATGCTGAGGGGACGCCCGTCTGATGATGAGGACGACAACGTTGATGAGCCAGTCCGAATATGAGGATGAGGTGATGGATGCCTGTCTGAACAGGAGGACGAGGAGGTGGACGCCTGTCTGAGCGTGAGGACGGGGTGGTGGGTGCCTGTCTGAATATGGGGATGACAGTGGCGATGAGCCGTGCATCATATGAAGGTGACGGTCGCTGTCTTGGAGGGGATTAGCGAGCCCGGTCGCTATAACAATACTTCGGTGTTGGGAGGCGGTCTTGAGATAAATAATCACGCCAAGGATGAGGGGCCGATTGTGACCTGAGGATGACGGTAGTGATGAAGTCGATCATCATATAGAGGCGATGGTCACCATCCAGGAAGGGGTGGCTAGCCCAACCGCTAAAACAAGACTTTGGTGCTGAGGAACCGGTCTTGACGTAGCTGATCACGTTGAGACCGAGGGGTCTGCCGTGATCTGAGGACGACAGAAGTGAGAGGCCGTTCGTCATAAAGGCGACGGTCCCCATCCTGGAAGGGATGGAGAGCCCTATTGCTAGCTCAAGACGTCTGGCACTGTGGAAGCCGGTCTAGAGATAAAGGATCACGCTGAGGCTGAGGACCCGTTTGTGATATGAGGACGGCAGAACTGAGAGACCGTTCCTCGTAAGGCGACGGTCCCCATTCTGGAAGGGATGGAGAGCCCTATTTCTTGCTCAAGACGTTCGGCGCTGAGGAAGCCGGTCTTGAGATAAAGGATCACGCTGAGGCTGTGGAGCCGTTCGTGACCCGAGGATGACGGCATTGAGAGGTCGTTCGTCGTAAAGGCGACTGTCCTCATCTTGAGATAAAGGATGACACTAAGGATGAGGAGTCGTTCGTGATCTGAGGACATACGACGATGAAGAGCCGGTCTTATAATATGATGACGGGGCGATGATGGAGTCATTCGTCATATAGGGACGACGGTCCCCATCCTGGAAGGGATGAGGAGCCCTATCGCTTGCTCAAGATGTTCAGCGCTGGGGAAGCCGGTCTTGAGATAAAGGACCATGTCGAGGCTGAGGAGCCATTCGTGATCTGAGGACGACGACACTGAGACGCCGTTCATCGTAAGGGCGACAGTCCGTATCCTAGAAGGGATGGAGAGCTCGATTTCTAGCTCAAGACATTCGGCGCTGAAGAAACTGGTCTTGAGATAAAGGATCACGTTGAGACCGAAGGGTCTGTCGTGATCTGAGGACATCAGCGTTGATTGGGCCGTTCGTCACACAAGCTCAAGACTCTCGATGTTGAGGAAGCCGGTCTTAAGACAAATGATCACGCTGAGGTCGAGGGGCCGTTCAAGATCTAAGGACGTACGGCGCTGAAGAATCCGTCTGTCATATGAAGGCGAGGGTCGCCATCCAGGAAGGGAATGGCGAGCCCACTCGCTAGCTCGAGACGCTCGGCGCTGAAGAGCCGGTCTTGAGATGGATAATCACATTGAGGCTGAGAGGCCGTTCGTGATGTGCGGATGGCGATGTTGAGGAGCCGATCCGCAAAACTGATGACGGGGCGATAATGAAGCCGTCCGTCATGTAAACTGAAGACTCTCGGCGCTGAGGAAGCCGATCTTGAGATAGATCACACCGAGGCCGAGAGCTGATCGTGATTTGAGGACGGACGGTGTTGGGGATTCGGTTCGTAATATTATGACGAGGCGATGATGAAGCCGATCGTCGTATGAGCTCAAGGCTCTCGGCGCTGAGGAAGCCGACCTTGAGATATAGGATCACGCTGAGGCTGAGAGGCCAATCGTGATTTGGGGACGTACGGCGATGAGGAGGCGGTCCTATAATATGATGATGATACATTATTGAAGCCGGCCGTCATGTAAGCTCAAGACTCTCGGCGCTGAGTGAAAGCACCAAATGATGGATAGTATATCCGGGAGATACCGCTGGGGGGTATCTAGAGAGATGTCAGAAGAAGTAAGAGAGAGAGTAGGTGTATATTAAATGAGCTCAAGAGTTCATCTGTGATCAGATCGGGATCTGGGATCTGGGATCCTTTACAATGAAGAAATGGCTTGCTATTTA